TTGTCAACATAGTTATTATCAATATCAATATCATATTCATTATTTTCATTACTATTATCAGTAATTAGATATCATGGTAATTAAAAGATATATTAATTCCAATATCATCCTATGGTACATGATACACACAATACAAACAAACAAACAAACAAAAAAGCGGAAAGATAAAATTTTGCAAGGTAAACAAACAGACAATTTCCAACAATAAACAAGTATTTGATAAACAATAAAATAAACAAAAGAAACAAGCAAAATCAAGCAACAAACTTATATCAACAAACGAAAGCAAATCAAACAAAACCCAAACCAACCAAACATACAAACACAAAGAAACAAATAAACAAACAAATCAAGCAAAGACAAACAAACAAACAAAGACAAACAAACAAAGGCAAACAAACCAACCAACCAACCAAACGCAATCAAACAAATCCACAAACAAGACAAACAAGCAAACAAACAAACAAGCAAACGAACCCCAAGACGCCAAAGGTCCCGTCAATATTTTGAATCTGAATAACGACTCTTTCTCCTCCGCTTTCTTCGTGATTTAAATATCGGCGCAACCAGCCCATTCCTCTATTTAAATATCCACTTCGGAGGAAAAGCCACAGACATGGATACAGGCGCACGTAGAGACACTTAGACACAGAGACACGTGGCAGAGGCGTACAGATGCAGATATAAAGACACTCTGAGACACTTACACACGCACGCAGATGCTCTCTTTCTCTCTCTCTCTCACAAACACACAAATACACACACACACACACACACACACGAACACACACACACACACACACACACACATACACACACACACACACACACACATTATATATATATATATATATATATATATATATATATATATATATATATATATATATATATATATATATATATATATATATAAGCATATATGCATGTGAATATATATATATATATATATATATATATATATATATATATATATATATATATATATATATATATATATATATATATATATATGTATATATATAAATACATATATATACATATATATACATATATATACATATATATATATATATATATATATATATATATATATATATATATATATATATATAGATAGATAGATAGATAGATAGATAGATAGATATATATATATATATACATATATATAAATATATATATATATATACATATATATATACATATATATATATATATATATATATATATATATATATATATATATATATAATATATATATATATATATATATATATATATATATATATATATATATATATATATACATATATATATATATATATTATTTTTTGTGTGTGTATGTGATCATGTTTTTATCCTTATAGATTAACTATTAGTATTCCTGCCAGACAAACAGGCAGACAGAAGCACAAAAAGAGTCCGAGACGGCCCAAGCGACAGCCTTCCCCCCCTTCCCCCACCCCACCCCGCTCAGGAGGACGACCTTCGAATGGCTGTCGCCTCCGAGTGTCCGTCGGGTCGTCGCCAGAGCGGAACGCGGTCGTGCGGGCGCGACAAAGGCCGAATTAGCTTCCCGCGCGCAGACACTTCGCCGAAACCGCAGCGTGATTTCGGGAACGGAGCGGAGCGTGAACGGAGGGAGAGAGAGAGAGAGAGAGAGAGAGAGAGAGAGAGAGAGAGAGAGAGAGAGAGAGAGAGAGAGAGAGAGAGAGAGAGAGAGAGAGAGAGAGAGAGAGAGAATAATATCTTTCTGTAACTCACATCACATCTATCTATTTGCCTGTCTGTCCATACGTCTATCTATCCGTCTATCTATCTATCTATCTATTTATCTACCTATTGACTTGCTTGCTTATCTAGCTATCTTAACTATGTGAATATCTATCTATATTGACTTATTGTGAATGGCAGTCCCTTAAATGATAATAATAATAATAATAATAATAATAATAATAATAATAAGATGATGCTTAATTAGCACTAGTAGTAGATAATAAATAAATAAGTAAATAAAATAAGATGAAATAAAATAAATAGATAGATAAAAAAAATAAAGTGATTATATTATCATTGACATTTAAAAAATCAATAATGATGATAAAAAATGATAAGATCTGAGCCTGTGATACTAGAAATATTAATACTGCCAGTACTAAAGAGAATGATAATATTATCAACTATGACGAAGCAGTAATAATAAGATAACAATAATGATAATTCCAATATAAATAATAGTGCTTCACGTGAACAAAAAAATCCAATATATTGACCATAAGTTGAAATTGTAAATAAAACAAGAATTCTCAAAATAAAACAACGAACCTAACTGTGAAAAAAACTTAATTACTATTTCGTCATGTATTACACTTCAAAGATCCTTAAAAAAAAAGAAACGAAAAAAAAGGAAATGAACAAGATAGAGAAAAAGAAAAAAAAAAAAAAAAAAAAAAAAAAGAAGAAGGAAAGACGTGAAAAGGATTTAGAAAAAAATAATCAA